TCTGTCCGTGAGTGCAGAAACCACTTATCTAAGTGTATGTGTTTGTGTGTGTGTGTGAGTGTGGGTGGGTGGGTGGGTGGGTCGGTGGGTGGGTGGGTGGGTGGGTGGGTGGGTGGGTGGGTGTGGGTAGGTGTGGGTGGGTGTGTAATTTGTCTGTCTGTCTGTCTGCCTCAATCAAGCAATAAGTAGATAAACAGGTACATGTATAGATAACTGTGCCAATGTCACTATATAAAGATGTGGGGTGTGTGTGTGTGTGTGTATGTATGACAATATCGTGCACCAACACAAACTATAAACATAAATATACATATGCATATACATACACATGCAAATACACATATACAATACATATACATATACATATTCATTTACATTTACATATGCATATACATATACACATTACACATGTACACATATACACATGTATACATATGCACATGGCACACATATGCACACATACACATACTACATATATTCATACATGTATATATGTATATATATATGTATGTATGTATATATATATATGTATATGTACATGTACACATGTACACGTACATACACATACACATGTACATATATATATACATATACATATACAGTCATATACATATACATATATGTAGATTTGTCTGTGTGTGCGTGCCGTGTTTGTATAGGTGTCTAGCAAAATGCACATACTGAGAGCAGAAGTGGTACAGGCAATGAAAACACTATGTACTATCATCTGTCTGCATGTACATAACTACAGTACAAAATTGTCACACACTCTCACACAAAGATGTGCGCATGTGGATGGCAATGCAATGAAGCCGGTAGCGCCTTTGTGTTTATGCTCATGTGGATATTACCATGTCTCGTGTTCTGCACTTTTGCTACAGTTACCAGTGCCCTTGCTTGCATTACCTTCGCGACTGCCACTCCTGCGACTGTGATCTCCAAGACTGTGGCAGTTCTTATGGCTGCTATCGCTAACTTAATGTAAATCGTACACCTGCCTAGATCGTATGCAAGAAACATCTGTTGAAATCGAACTACATGAGGTGCAGCACATCAACCTTTTATGTAGGCGCGTATCTCCGCATGATGTTGCCAACATAGATGTACAAACGGTGAAAGAGCGTCACGACGACCGCGAGGACCAAGACCACTACGATGTCTGGAGATAAGACAGCTAGATCGATGGATAGATTCACTTGCTTTGGGGGGGAAGGCGATGTTCCAAGGCAAGCATCCTTGGCACTCTCGCCGATGCGCACCACTTGCCGGAAGGCCACGCGCCACACCTGGCTTCTTTGAGGGCCCCCGATCACGATGAGTACGCTGTTTGACTTATATGACTAGATGCTTTCGACACGTGCTCTGACATCATCAGTATACGAGTGGGCATCTTCTCCTCTGAGCTTTGCTGTTCTCCTTGACCTGTTATTGAAGCATGTTCAAGCTTCTTTCCGTGCAGCCCCGTCTATTCCTTGCCTTCCTCTCTACCCGAGACTTCTTACAGCCTTCCTCGTACATCTCTCGCTCTGCTTCTGTATCAATCAGTCGCTGTGTCGAGTCTTCTCACCCCCTGGCATCCGCCACAAAGCTCCTGCAGGGAGGCAGAAAACCGATCTTGCAGCCCAGCCACATTGAAGAGGGCCCAGGAAATGGCAAAGAGTGGCAACGCCAGCACGGCCAGGATGCGGACGTCGAAGCCCTTTTCAGGGTAGGACAACCCTTTTCTTCGGAGATCCGTGGAAAAATCCCCTCCTTTGGGCGCCTCGTCGTCCTCGTCAGAGGCGCGAGCAGCCAGGGCCGGCTGAGGAGCGGAGACGGCCGCCAGGCCGGCAGCCACCACGGCCCCGGTGGCCTCCGCAGAAAACATCGCATGCGTGCGGAAGCGCGGGGGCGTTTTGGAAGCCCCGAGCTCCGTCCTGGTCCAGCTCAATGCGCGCGACCGCCTGGGGAGGGGGGACGAAGTCCGGGCTGAGGCGACGAAGCACGACGGCAGCCACCACCTCGGAACGGCAAAAGCTCTCGCCGCCGTGGAATCTTGCAGAGTTAAAGCAAGGCACGAGGGCCAGGACAGCAGTGAGAGGGGTGCGGGCACGAGCCATGAGGGGCAAAGGAACCTGCTCAGGCACACAACTCTCAATGCAAGCCTTCAAGCCTTCAAGCATCGGTGACACAGCCGCCTGCAGGTGTACGAACTGCAGAGTCACTTGTCAAAAACCAGCCCTGGAGCCAAAACGCTTGCGATCGCGATTACGTGCAGCTCTGCCGCAACGGACATCAGCCACGCATTCAAGGATTTCCTTGTGCTGCGTCTCAAACCTTGGAGGCCTGGTAGGCAGCCGTTGCCTGGGGGCTCTTTGCCTCCGTGGAACTCGTCTCCAAGAGCTCAGACATAGAGAGATGCTGCGGAAGCTTCTGGGAGCCAGGGGCTTCCTTGGCCTCCGCTTGCGTCGGAGCTTGCAAGGCTCGCCGGGCCGACCTCGGCAGCTTTCGGTGTTGCCTCCGCTTCCTTCAGTGGACTCGGCTACCTACGCTGGGCCAAGGGGCCGTGTGATGTCGAGACACATCCTCACGAAGGCAACCAAGAGCACGACGGTGACCTAAGCTCCGAATCCCTCTTTCGCTGTAGATGCAACTCCGAGCGTTTTTTGAGGAACCAGCAGCCGAGTCGACCGCTGCTCCTGAGTACAACCCGACAATCACCGAAGCACACGAGCACAAAAAGCATCATGTAAGCCCCCAACTTACAGGGTCCACGCTCGTTTCCTCGGGGTGCTCCTGAGCCTGTGCCCAGTGGTCGAGGTGCCTCTACAAACGCGACGACAGGTCACCGCCTGCGACCGGAGCCGAGGTTCCGCACTTCCTGCCAGAGGCCGAGAGCGCAGACTGACATAAACAGAAAACGAATCTTTTGTAGCGGTGAAGCAGAGGGCCGCTCCTGGATGCGTTCGCATCCATTCTGCCAGCTCCTGGCAAGCAAATTCCCCCCAGGCCCAATGCTCTAAAGCTGAATGGGCACATAGAAGCCAGCAAAATTTAACAAGCTACGAGGTCTGAGAAGCCTTCTGCAGGCGCTGCTGCGACCGACCCAGGTTGCTCTCCCAGGCCTTGCCAGGGCACCAGGGCGGGAGTCAATTTTCGAAGACCCCTTCCAAGCATCACTCCATGCCCCCAACCCTCGCCTGCGCCCGCTGTCCACGGACCAAGCGCAGGATTGTCGGGTACGTCTCTACCTGGCAGACGGCTGCAGGCCGTCCCATTGACCCAGCCTTAAGACCCTGGAAGCTCCCACGACGCGTTCGCCTCTCTGAACACCTCTTGTTGATCTTCTTGTCTTCTTTTGGGGAAGGAACTGGTTGACACTAATTCCTTAACGACCCACCCCGAAGCTTTTCTCACGATCGCAGACGAGGCCATCACGCAGGTGAACACCTCATCCCACTAGCAAGCTACACCAGCCGAAGACCATCCTCCGATGTCTGCTGCATGGAGAAGAGAACAAGCGCCCATGAGGATCCTGTCGAAGTTGCGGAACGGTCAAGGGGCCTGCCTTCCAACATCTCGGGATCGGCTCTCTGGCCCACAAGTTACCAGGAGCCAGAGAGCCGATGGCTCTTCCAGAAGAGGGGGAGATTCTGCAAGATGCTCACGTCGTGCGCTTTCGTTTGGTGGCCGGTACCGGCATTGAACGGCTTCGCTCCGCAAAAATCGCCCGCAAAGGACCAATGCAGAAGGAACACATCTTGCAGAATGGCAGAAACATGTTGCTGGCTAACGAGGCAAGGTCGAGCGACGAAGCTCGTGGTATCCGATCTGCTTTGGGGAAGACACGGCAGTGGCATACTCAAAGGCTCAGGCTCACAGGATCTCACAGGGCTTCTCTTTGCAGCGATGCCGGAACATTGAGGCGCCCCATCAATGTCCGCCAAGTGGCGGACGTCTGCATCAGTGCATCTTGATTGAATGCTGCCTTGGATAAGACGGCGACCAACTACGGAGGTGCAGAGAACCCACGACAACTTCCATATCTGAGAGTCGCACCATGGCTTGCGTGACGTCAAAAAATTTTGTCTCTGGCAGCCTGAGCAAACGAAGGTCAGCACCACATGCAAACCACAACCTCACTCGGGAATGTGCAAGTCGGGGCCTTTTCAACAAGTCTGGTATGGACTCGAAGTACAGCACGTGCGGGAAGCGGAAATAGTCGGTAAACCCCAGAATTTGATGCACGGCCTCCAGCGATCTCTCCTGAAAAGGCGTCGCCTCAGCTTTCACTCTTTTCCTAAACTCAACTAAAATTGGTCATGCTCGGATTCAGTACAGTTCCCTGGCTCAGTCGAGGCTCGTCAGTGTCTGGCCACAACTGCCTCTGCCCAGGCTTAACCTTCCTTCGATCCCAGCGATAGTCGTAGGCCCCATGGTCTTGCTGGAACAAGTACTTTTGCAGAGAGGATGGCATGAAGATCGGCATGTTCATGCTGTAGAACTCGTAGAATGTGATCAAGTCCATATCATATGGCCACAGCACCACGGCCCGAAACTGTGCAAACGTGCTGAACTGCTTGTCAGTCAGTGCTCTGGTCACAAAGCGGAAGGGAAAGTCCTGGCTGATGGCTGCTCGCAGGCGTCCCTGGCGGTCTAGAGTTTATTAGGTATAGACTATTTGCCGAGCATCGTCAAAACAAGTGGCCACCTCTGAGACTGTTTGGCGTCGTACACACTCTGAGGCTGATCCGCGGAACAGGCCTCGAACTACCCTACTCAACATCAACAGGAATCCCAGCACCCAGTGGCGACCCCTAAAACCGGAGGTGGGGTGTCGTCTCGCCTCCGCCGTTGGCCAGTCGTCCGGGCGGCTCGATTCCAGCGCTGCTCCCGTCAACTCGGCCATGCTGCGCCGAAGGAGGCACATGAGCACGGACTCGTGCGGCCGATCTAGAACCAACACCTCATCCGAACGGCTTGGAAAGTGCGTCGCACCAGTGTAGAGAGCATGGGTGCGGATGGCAGGCAGGCGCGGCGCACCGATCTGATACTCGTACTGCATCTGCAGGAAGGGATCACTCACGGCGAACTCGACGGAACGTGCCCTGGCCAGTGCCGCAAACTGCGAAACCCCCGGCCCCCTAAATCGGAAACCTTCAAACGCTTCGGCTCTTGGACACCTCCTGTCCTGGCCATGGCGGAGAAGCGGCTCCAGAAGGCCTCGCGTGTCGCCGCGTCCTCGGGCACCATGAAGAGCAACGGATGCCCGAAGTACCCGATTGTTGGGACGTCCAGAGACTCCACCAGGAGGCAGAGATACGCCACAGTGCAGAGAAAGAGGCCCACATGCCGCAGGCGACCAGAAGCAATCTGCCGAAAGTCCAGCTCGAACGACTCCATGTTTTCGATGGGATCCTTGGAAGTGGCACTCTGTGGAATTCGCTTTCTAAAGAAATCCGTGAGGTCATCCTGCACCTCGTCACAGACCAGACGCGGATGCTGATAGAGGGTGGCACAGCGATTTGGGAGCCACTTGGGATACTGGTCTTGTATCAGGTTCCGGTGCTGGAGGCGAACATCTGTTAAAACTCGCGCCCACATTTGCAGCGGCTCCGCAGACAGAGTGGCATGAACCCCCATCTCCCAGACCGTGAGGACAGGCTCTCCCGGAAGATCTCCAGGAACCTGCCTCGGAAACGGATACTGGCGATGCAGGTGCTGCGGCAGGGAAAACTGCTTCTGCTCCAAGTTGGCCAAGATGTCCAGTGAAGTTAAGGCCCAGCCGGAGCCCTCCATGAAGTCCAAAGTACTTCGAAAGAGGTCTCCCAGGAGGAACTGGGCGTGGCGGAGCAGCTGCTTTCTCTCAGGATGGCCGTGCCGCGCCGAGACCCAAAGGGCCGACACCACCCCGTAGAGGCAGAAGGGCTCCCGCAGCTCTTCGACCGCCCCGGGGCGAGTGTTGCAGCTGGCAAAGAAGCTTTGCATCGCATAGGACATGCCGTAGAGTGCCTCCGCATTGGGCTGCAAGGCCTCCCAATGGACCTCCAAGAGTGATCGGGCTTGCTCCGCCAGCATGGCATCCTCGGGGTAGCCAGCATCTGCGTTCTGACCCAGCCTCTCCCGGAAGCTGCTCCAGTCTGCATCCCAATCACACTCCAGAAATCCAGCAGAGGCAAGACTGAAAAGGATCACAGAGAAAAGATGCCGCATCTAAACCCTGCTACAGAGCTCCGAGCACTCAGAGCCACAAGATGCTACGAGCCTCCACGAGAGAGAGAGAGAGAGAGAGAGAGAGAGAGAGAGAGAGAGAGAGAGAGAGAACAACGCGGGGGCCCACGTG